CCAGATCATAAACCAGAAAGCAAATACTATAAATTTTTGCTTCACTATAGCTTGTTTCCATCTCTATGTACTCATTCATTAGCATTCAACAACTATGTATTAACATCTGCTCAGTTATGGGGCTTATTTTGGTGGTAGAGAAAGCCGACAGGAATTAATGGTCCACTGTAGCTTCCGTTGTGGGAAGAGGAGACAGACACGGTGTGTACACAGGCACATGCATAGTGAGTCATACACATTAGGAGGAAAAGGAACAGGAAGGTGGAGTCCTGGAGAGAGGGCTTCACTGAGAAGAAAGTGTGTTTTTTTAAGTTGGAGTCTCACTCTGGTGCCTAGGCTGGAGTGCAGTGGCACTCTCACAACCACCGCAGCCTCGACCTGCTGGGTTCAGGCAATCCTTCTGCTTCAGCCTTCCAAGTAGCTGGAACTACAGGCATGCACCACCACACCCGGCTAATTTTTTGATTTATTGTAGCGATGAGGTTTTGCCAAATTGCCTGGGGCTGATCTTGTACCGGTGAGCTCAGACAATTCTCTCACCTCAGCCTCCCAAAGTGCTGGGATTATAGGCGTGAGTCTCCACGCCCGACTGAACAAAGTATTTCAGCAGAAATCCGAAGGAGGTGAGGGGGTTATTATGTGAATATTTGGGGAAGGAGGGTTCCAGGAAGAGAGAATAGCAGTGACAAGGAACTAGTGTAGTGTTGCCTGATGTCTGAGAGCCTCTGTGGACCAGTGTGACGGGGAGGAGACTGAGGAATGAGGCACTGAGGCTGGGGAGGTAACAGGATGGAGGAGGGGTGGGGAAATTGTGTTGGCACTTTGGTTCTCATGATGGGTGACTTGGGCAGCTGTCAGGTGGTTTTGAATAGGTAAGCCTGTTCTTGTCTTCTGAAAGGGTGACTTTGGCTGCCATTTTGATTCTATGTTGTAGAGGGGGAGAGAAATACATGCACATGTTGGAAACCTTAAGAGCTACTGTAGGAATTCAGGCAGAGGTGGTCTTGGTTTGGAACAGGGTGTTAGTGATGAAAGTGGTGCAAAGTAATCAGATCCTTAAATATTTTGAGGGTAAAAATACAGGATTAGGGGCGTAAGAGAAAAAGAGGAATCAAGAATGGTACCCATGTTTTTGGTGTGAATAACTGGAAGTATAGTCTTCCCCATCTACTGACATGGAAGATCGAGGGAAGAGCAAGTATCAGGGAGAACATGAGGAGTTAGCTTGGAACACCCAACTTTGGTATTAGACATCTCACTGAAGATGCTGAGTAGACAGTTCAGTGTGCTTCTGGAGGTCAAGAGATGGGGCCTGCTGGGACTAGAGCTCTGGGAGCTGTCAACATGTATATAGTATTTAAGGCCATGAAGTCACCAGGAGATGAGTGTGACAGAGAAGCCCTAGGACTGAGTCATGAATTAACACTTAGAGGTTGCTAAAGGGAGGAAGATTTCTCAAAAGAGATTAAGAAAGAGGAGTTTGTGGCCTAGGAGAGGACCAGGAATTTGTGGGGCCCTGAAGGTCAGGGGAAAATAGTATTTCAAAGAGGAGGGAACAAGAAGCTGACTCCAATGTTATGGCTAGGTCGAGTGAGATGAGGACTGAGAGTTGACTGATGGATTTAGAAACCAGTGAGGGTGATCTTGAGAAGAGTCCCACCGGAGTGTTGCAAATGCAAACCAGTTGGAAAGGGTTCAGGAGAAAATGAGGAGAGGGATTGGAGACAGTGCATATAGACAACTCTTTTGAGTTTTGTATAAAGGGGAACCACGCGTAGGCGGGTGGTGGAAGTGGGATGTGGAATGCAGGGAGGATGGTTCTCAGTTGGCGGATAACTTGGGATGCCTCGCCCTAGTTCAGAGCGTGACACCTCTTGATGCTTTCCTAAGAGAGCTCCTTCTGCCTCAGAGGACCAGGCATCTAGACCCAAATGAATCTCCTTGAAATGCCCTTCTAAATCAGGTCACCTTTCTCCATTCCTATCCCTTGTAAAATATCTTTTAATGACAATCCAATAATGATCATCTACCCAATAATATTCAGAATTCAAGGTGGAAAAAAAGAACTGATGTCTACTCTGTTCAGCTCATCTGGTTTCTTCTCTCTATCCACTTCCCATCCTTGGGTCTGTTGTCACTCCCTCTGTTCAGAACCCCAACTATACCCTTATAAAAGCAGAAGGGAGCTTCAGAGCCCACACATGTTTCATGTTATATGGTTCCTTCATCGATGACATTAGCCAGAAACTATTTCTGTCATCTCAATGCTGTAGTATTTATCATCAAGACATATTTCAGCTCAGACACCGCCTTGTACACTAGACATTTTGTGTCTTTCATGGTGTCTATCTCAAAGCACATGAATGTGTTCTATACAAGTATGTTGAATAAATCCATGATGACCTCCAGGTCTACCTCCAAGTCGCCACCTACTCACATTTAACTACCTCCCTAGTACTACTTCTGAGACTGCATGGCCTAGTCTCCAGAGGTGTCAATATTTCTAATTTTGAAGCCACTCAGAGCCTCCATCTCAGTAACCAGGAGGTTTCATTAATAAGGAGGAGGTCCTTTATGATGGCGTAAGCCAACATTTATTTTGCCATAAACTAAAAGGAAATATGAGGCCTGAGAATTCAAGTATTTCTTTAAATCTTTGTTGTCATAGAAGACAAAATTTTAGTGAGACTCCTGTCCTATTAAAGAGCTAGTTTTAAATTGTGTTATACCTATGCAGTTTATTCATAATTCAGTTTGCAAAAATCAAGACTTGTGCCAATCTCATTAACATTGAGCCAAGCTTCATGGTTTGTCATTAGGAAATTCTCTTTCGGGAAGAACAGATAGCTATCTGCAGGTATATTTTATTCAGTGCTTATGAAGGGCTTAAATACCTTATTAATCTTTCTCAACAACCTAGCAAAATAAGTAGAAAGCATTAACCCTATTAAAAGAGCAGAGAGTTGGAGCCAGAATTCCTGGCTTACATGTGTTGTCAACTGGGCATGATGCTAGCCTCAAGAAAGGAATTACTCCTCTGTGTTGTCCTTCAGAAGAGAGTTGGAGAAGACAAGATGTGGGCAGGTGTAAGATTCCTTACATTCACACACTCAGTGTTTCTTGGGGCAGTGGAGATGCATTTTATGTTGGAAGGATGGATTTTGCTAGGACATTTCATGTTTTGTTTAGTAGATTAATAAAAAAATTTTTCGCTTTTCTAGTTGTATTTTCCTCATCTTACACATTATGAACTCATTATAGGGAGAATATCTTTGATTTCTGTAGAACATTTCCTTAGTGCTTGACTTATATTGGGACTTCACATGTGTTGATGGAAGGGCTAAATTAAAATATTTGCCACATATATTTTACCGGTGAGTATTCAAAGAGAAGAATGATTTCAGGTATGTAAATGGGAAGCTGGTAGTAATCAGCATTTTAGTTATATAATGACAATGGCTTTTGCCAAGGCACTCTGCCAATTTTCCTCCAAAATAATTAGCATGTGATTGGAATTCATAGTGCATGCCAAAAGGTGGTTGCTGCGTAGATGATTTTTAGTGCATAGGTGGTGTTGATGTTGATGTGCAGATGTGTTCAGAAACCTTTGAACTATGTGGCAGTGGACAACCCTCCCATATTCACAGATGAGTCATATTTCATTCCCCCAGAGCCACAGCTGCATACCTAAACAGGTGGCTGATGTACCAGGCAGAATGACAGCTGAGAAAACAGCTTAGTAGACCACTTCCCATTTGCAATAAGTAGCTTTAATGAACAATCCACACAGAGGATGCAGGTCTCCTGACCAGCCCAAACCCTTTTTTGTCTAACTGCCCCTTCCTCTGGGGGTAGAAGGGAAGGACTTCATCCTCCGTTGTCTCCAATTTTGATTTTCCGTCCAGTAATCTCAACTCTGAGTGATTCCAAAAATAGTGGGAAAGGCTTGCCTAACTTCATTCTAGCTCTAGGCAAATCTAGAGGCTGCCTGGCATCTCTGTTGGATGAAAGAAAAGACAACACTTAGATCTGGGGCCTAGAGACTCAGCGAGGCATTTGCCTGATGCCTGCAGAAACTGCTGGCCCGGAGACATGGATGCAATCCGAAATGCCCGGCAGGAGACCCCTTCAAGAAGAGGGCCGGGGCACAGGCTTCCTGGGGCACAGGCTTCCTAGGGGATGTGGCAGTCTTGTTTTCCTGCCTTGTCACCTGAAGCTCCTTTTGGATTCTGACCTGGTAACCCTTCCCTTGCTCTGTTTCTTCCCTGTCATACACTTCTTTTTCCCTCAGCACCTGCTAAAAATGTTGAGAAGTTCTCAAGACACATTTGGATTTCAAGTGTCTAGAAAGTTCTCTCTTTCCAACCAGTGGATAAGAATATGCAAAAATCAAATCCTTTTAGTCATTTCTCTGAGTCTTAGACTCCCCTCTCACTCTCCTGTCCTCTTGCCCTTCCTCTTTCCACTTAATCTGTGATGCTTCGTGGAGAATGTCTTGTCTCTCGCACACATTTCCCAGGACTGGATTTTCCTTCTCCTTGTTCACTTGGCTGTTCCCGTCTCTCATCCCCCCCATCCAAAATCCAAACTCCCAGAGCGCGTATTCCCCATGGAGTACATCAGGCCTAGCTTAATCCAGACTCTGACACTCCATGTTTTGTGACCAGTTCCCTCCCAACCTCACTTTATTAGGTTCTCTTTCCTGAGATTGTTGTGAGGACAGAAACAGACAGCCAGCGTCAGGGTCTGTCCTGGCCAAGACCCTGCTGGAGTAATCCAGAGCAGAAGACATTCACATTCAGTCATCAGAGACACCGGAAGGGTCAGCCCCTTCCACGAGAAAACTTCATTCAAGGAAAAGCAAGAGTCATGGTGCACAAGCTCACCCAGTCCAAGGAGGCCTCCAGGCCTCGGACTAGCACATAGCACAGACTCCTCTCTGCTGGGTGACCCGCCTCTGTCCTCCAGAGACCTCACCCACTGTCCCTGACTTCCTCCAGTTTGAACTTCAATGGATGCTGATCCACTGCGACCCGCTGCGACCCAGGAGAGAAACCTGCCACGAACTACCCGCCGGAACACCGGTGAGTCCCGGGGCCACCCGCAAAGGCCTGTCCACCCAGCTCATCCCTGTCCACCTTCCACCTCCTAACTTGCTTTCCCGAGAGCGGCTGCGCCCACCCGAGACATATTCAGAAAGCAGGGACTGCTCTGGCCTGGCGGGAGGAAACTCCTTCGAGTGTCGGTTCTCCCCACTCGGACACCTCTCCCAGATCACCTGGGGTCCGATCGCAGGCAGGCCACAGACGCCTGGGCGGCCCCGACGACAGCCAGAGGCTGCCAGGGGCGCGGAGGAGGCGGGGCCGTGGGGAGAGGGTGA